TATTTGTCATTTAGAACCAACATTCTTTTCTCAAATCATCATATTAACAAAACAAAAATGTTTGTGATTAATTTATTTTCATCAGACGATTTAAAGATTCTAAACATTTGTTGTTGCTTTTTTGTGTTAACACTTTAATTCATATTTGATATGCTCATTGCGTCAGCAACAGGATTCGTTGTTTTCCATTAAATTTCATTATGAATTTAACCATGAATAATTAAAACCATACTATCATTCTAAAAGCCTAAGATGTTTAGAAAAGAACAATTTATGTATCACGTGTTACACATTGCTGATTTTCACAGTCAATTCATGAATAATACGGACTATATGTGCATGTGTTTTGGACTACCAACTGATTTTGGTTTAGATTAGACCGTTCAGATTATTCGGTTCGTACATGCAGCTATAATAGCCATTTTTTGAACATTTGTCGTTCAGAAATTACCATCTGCATTAAGCTTGTGATTAAAAACATCTAGATCTTTCACATTAGCTAGTATATAGTAAGAAGTGGAAATCAAAATTGTTCAATCGTTCAACAAAGTGGCAAACATTTAAGCACTTTGGTTACATTGATCTAAATATTGCTTCCTGTTTGGCTATCCTTATTTCAGCTGACGTAATTAAATTATATCTAACATGCAACAAAAATTGTTTTCGTTTAAAGCTGAAATATTTTTTACAAAATGCGACAAGTTAAGTGTAGGCGTGACATAGGATTGTATATGTATATGTAATCTTAAGTGAACCTTATTGTCGGTAATCAAAGTGCATTTGAACAAGATATTTTGTATATTGAAACTTACTTAAGGACATTGCAATTATTATATTTATACAGTATTGATAGAAACATTTTTGTTTGTTTTGTTTGATGAACATAGCAACCTTACAGATTTGCATAATTGAGTAGAAATTCCGACCATGATTTTTACATATAATATAATCTCACATGATAAGTACTATGTACATGACAAGACTGTATCTTAAATAACTTTGTCAAATTAGAATCTAGTAAGCTGAAACCAAAATCAAAATATGACATAAATATAGCTTTAATGAATCGACATATCAAAGTTAAATACAAACCCTTTACCTGGACAAAAGACTTTCGGTTGTAATAAAGATCAATGTCTTGGTAGCTATTTTGTCAAGATTGCACATATTTCACTAACCTTACCAAAGTGTGCAGCCAATTCATATTTGAGAGTGTCGCTTAAGTTGACACATAGTCGATATCTTGCTTGACATATCATACATTATTGCATTTCATTGTTCTATGAAAGTGTTTTAGTGCTACTGAATACTTTCATGTAAAGCAATAATTGTCACTGCAGGTTGTTAGGCTTGTTTAATACATATTTGCGTGACAGAAATGTTACACCTTTCTTGATGTAAGTAGCGGAGATTCAATGAATGTGCTTATTTCTTTGAACTTGATTTATAATATCAAAATACAGGCAAAACAGTAAAACAATGTGTCTCGAGACAGCAACATCAGGTTTAAGTATATGTTAACACGTCAAGCTACAATTTAATGTATTTCAGCATTGCAATAAGGCTGAGCGGAAAAGGTTTCAAACAAGTTATATGTCAATGATTTTTAATGTATGATTTTATGAATTTATAATAGACATATCCTCTCACCATTCACAAGATACCGTTAACAAATTAAAATAGTACGTCGTTCTTGTTGAAACGTTAGAGGTGTTTAACTATTTTATCGTAAAGATAAATACATTCAGGCAGCATTCTTGTAATATTAATCTGGTAATATCTAGTTGGAATGTTATCGTTATGATTTCATTAAATTTCAGAAAGGATAATTTGATTTAGAAAGCTGACAGAAATTTCATTATCTACAAATAGTTACAACAACTAAATTGATACGAAAGAATTAACTTTGCTGTAGTTTATGTTATAATTTTTAAATCATAAATATAATATGATATCAAAATACAAATCATGTCTAAAGAACGATATGATTCAAAATTATTTTTGCCATGCATGAGTAAAAATTACAATGGACATTATGTGTAACACTGACCCTGATGAATCGTTAACAACGCCACTGTTTAAGGAAATATTTCACACATAGTAACAATAGATTTATAAATGACAATATATTTAATCTCCACAGACCTCACTGAGTTTTGATATAACAACAAAATGAAAGGTTTTGCATCAAAGTCACACAATATATTTCCGTGTGTGTAAATTTTCTTGTTATTGCTAAATCGTACAAGGGTTACATTTATTTAGGATTATCATTAATATCTGAAATCATATCATATTAATGTACTCCTATAACTTGTATGTACACATCATTATGAGTGGAGACTTTTTGACAAATTCTCTGCATTTGTTAAAACCTTATATTATTACGTCAAGTTGACGTCTTACAAAATAGAAAGGACCTCTGTGTGCTACAAACGTCAACTTACTTGCTCCTTACCACTGTTGTTTGAATCCCGTTTTGGGAATTTGCATTTTTTAATATGAGGAAGCTAACCAGGTAGCTTACAGGAGGGTTCTTCTCAGTACTGAGGTCCCCGCTTGTTACCCCACCAAGGAGCACAAGGTTTTTCCCTATTAACAATACTGGCAAGTATAAACAGTAAAGTGTCAGAATGACTTAAATTGGGCAAACCAAACAAATTTAAACAAATACACATTATGTTGTTTTATGGGAATAAGTACAGTTGTGCCGATTTAGTATTTTGTATTGAGTAAAAATACTGTCTCGTTCACATTTCATTACTTTTATTACAAATGATTTCACATTCATCACTACTTCAGGCTATTAGCATAACACATTTTTAAGCATAATTTATTGTAAAACTCGTGTGATGGACAAACATATAAGTTTCTGAGGCATTATGTACCTACCTATAAGTTCAGTTATAATTTTGAACAAACACATAGCCGTGATGCACTGTTCACGTTGAACTAATCATGTCTACACCAAGGCGGTAATTGTCAGGTTATTTGAGTCTAAAGCATCAAAAACACGTCTAAATGACCACTTTAGTGCTCTTCACTAGGAGATAGTGATGACGGCAAATATACTAGAAAAAAAACATTAACTGATTTGCAGATAAGGAACCTTCACATAGTCAGTGGTAATGTTTCATTAATAATTTATAAATACAAGTGAAGATAGCTTGAAAGATATTTTATATTATTAATGAACGCCATAATACCCGAGTTAGGCAATGAATTTAGTTCAAATAGATGATAGTTCCAAGCTTTTAGAAAAGTAAGACTTAAAGTAATGTATCACAAAAATAGATAATTGATCACTTAAAATATCAATTAAAATGTCAATATTTCTTGCTTTTTCTAATAAATAATGAAAAGGAATATGTATGTAACTGTATTAAAAAAGTACTCCCGCGTTTTACACTGTGTAACACGAGTTTATATTTGGTTTGAACGTATGGATATTTATATCAAGCAAAACTCTTAAGTTCAATCCGATAAACACGTCTTATTTTATTGCATTGTTTCGTTTTCTGTCAACTTTTCATGATTTATAATAGTATTTTTTATGATAGATTTCAATAATTGATGGTGAATACCATATTCCGTGTATATACTTGCAAGCTCTACTTAAACACATTTCTATCTCTTGTGTGTCTTTCCAGGGGAATTATATATACATTGTATATGCCAGTAGCATGTAATCATAATAATTTCTAATTATTGTCATCTTAAATTATAGAATTAAAAAGATAACCGAAATAAAATCAAACAAAACAATAACAACAAAGAGCAAAAAAGATTAATATGTCTGTCTTGTCATATATCTATATAATAGTTCTTACAACAGACAAATAATTACTCAACGTGTATCAAGCATTTATTAGTGTGATTAATATTGTAATGTGTATTTACCTCTTGTTAACATAATGTAGTTTATATAACAATGGGTAATAACATGACAATGGAAATTTGCTTGGTTCCAAATGGGTAATTGATATAAAATGCTATAATTAAATCAACATTTGTAAATAAATACCTAGACGAAGATTCAGAATGTGTTCGGAAGTCTTTCCAATATGTATAAAGTGCTGTCATTGTCACCATATTTGGCATTTTGATTAATGTTTAACGTCTGCAAAGCAGATGCCAAAGGAATAGTTTTTTAATGTTACATTATATATTTTGTAATATTACTTGGGTATATATTTTAAAGAAAACACATTACTAAATGAAAGTACTATGTTATATAATTAAGAAGGATCCTTATAATTTTAAAATGATAACTATCTTATACTACATGAGTACTGTTGACGTTTTAACAAATAAAAACGAAACAGAAATAAGGGTACACGTGTTTTTCCTATAGCTAGCTTGTTATCCTACACACAGTACTGTACATTTTGCATGAGATACAACATATATGTTACATGATGTGTCTAAACATTAATAATGATGACGACCGACCTTTTCTTTAACATATATATTAAGATAGGAGTTGTTTTAGTTCAACACAATTATTATTATCATTGATTATTTTTGTGCTTTATTCGATAGAGTGTCACTTAAGTGTTTCAATCATTGATCGTGTAGCATTCATTATTTTGAAAATAAAAACTAAAACGTGTCACATATTTCAAAACTATGTACTACCAATGCGTTGCTATGAGACTTGTACACTCCTGTCAGAAACATTAGTAAATTAAACCACTAATAGATATTACTATGAAAGTTGGAAAATGTTAGAACAACAGATTCATTTAAATATAAATATATATGTATAAGCAACGTTTGCCTGTTCTGTGGTTCTTTTTATGACAGTATCTTTTGTTATATTTAACCTTATATAGTATTTGTTATTGGAACAGTTAAGTATTATATAAGTAAAGTTGAGTCATATAAGATAGAACATTTATACTGGTATTTTGAAAGGTATTCTAGCAAATGATATGTTATTGTATGTAATCACTAAATTTTATTGTCAGTTACCGAACTATGTGTTGTTAAATTTTCAGAATAAAGACGATTCAAACAGGATAAGATATACGATTCTGAAATATCGAAGGTAAGTAAACAAAATTTGCAGTATAAAATACTTAGATAAAAAAGAATGAAATGTTCACAACTGTTTGATAGTTTTGCTTAGATGGATATTTGTAGCAAATGTTAAAATAATTCGTATGTACTTTTTCACATGTTTGACAACTTTGTTTATGTGAAGATATAGATTGGATTCAAAAGGTCAACTTTTTACTTTGATTAAAAAAACTGTAATAAAACTGAAAAAAAATATATTAGACGCCTTTGAGATTTAAAATACTTATTCAAATCTTGCTCATGTGCTTACGGAAATGGTCAACAAACTGGACACACGTTTAAAATTAACATAATGTAGTTTGTCGGATAAGAAAATGAAAAAAAAAAAATAAATAAAAAATCAATACAGTAATTGTTTATATATTTTTCTGCTATTTTGAAGAAAAAAATCATTTATATATATCATTTATATTTATAGTTGAAAAAAGATCTGATTTTAAATCCAAGCCATTAGATACGAAGTGAATATGTCTCAATTGAATAGTAAAGGAATAAAAGTGTGTTTCTCCCGCAATAACATGATATTCATAACTTTATGTATCTTTTGAACAATCATTCAGGCACAAATACATTTAATTTGTGCCTCAAATTCTGTTTAATATATCATTAAAATAAAGCTATTTCCAAAAGAACATACGTGTACTAGATCAAATTCAATATTATTAATCATTATTATACTTATCACAACTTTTTATCGAAAGAGTCGTTTTTTTAAGTTAAACTAACTAAAATCAGGTGTAATGGTATTTTATATTTTTGCAAGTAATAAAGTGTTTGAAGATATCAACTACTTATTTCATAAGTAAGTTGCATCTTGACATATTCTTTGATCTTTTATTGGCGTCCGCGCCGAAGCGCGGCGCCCCTTTATGGAACGAAATCATCAGATTTTGTGAAAGGGCGACAGCAACTTCTCGAGCCTTTAAGTCGGTCATGATAAAAGCCGATCATTCCGATCGGTATGAGGGTGCTTGATTATTAATTAAATGTCGCGATATGTTACAATGAATAGCGAACTGGAGGATTTCGCAATGCAAACATTTTCAAATGCAATAACCTTTTCATTTTCAAATGCAATAACCTTTTCCGTCTCTTCGGTTTTTTATTTATCATTTTGTAGTACACAGTGGGTTATCATGGTATGTTAAAATAGAATGATGAGTTGATGACCTAAATATTCCGAAAATCTATTTATAGAGGGATGTACTCCTATCGGTAATTCCGGTCTCTCCCGTTCTATTTTGACCGTGATACTAGTGACCGGCGAAAAGTATCACACGTTTATTGTCCGATCTCTCCCGGTTTTTGGAGTAGATGTTTGATATCGTTACAGAACAGAACAAATATTTTACAGATAAATAAGCTTTTTTCCAAAATGAATGTTTGTCACTTAGTTTGGTAACAATAATTAATAAACATAGATCAACTCTCAAATATATTGATTATTATTATACATAAACATACAATTCGAAAAACAACAACAACAACAACAACAATAGCATGTTTCATTTTATCTATACGAGATATAAACTATAAATATGTACAATAATTGTGAAAAAAGGTACATTTTTATGGTTTTAATATGACTATATTAACTTTGAAACATTTTATTTTATTTGTTATTCGTGTTTAGTAAAGATGCCGGTGAATTATTCAAAGTAACAAATTAGATTTTATTAATTATTTGATTTTGAATGATAATTTAAAAAATGATAAAGAAAAATACAAATGTACATGTACATGGTTTAAGAATAAATAATATTATATATTGAAAGATTAACCATAATTTACTGACTTTTTCCAGTAAAGTTTTGACTTATAATCGTCGGTCAATATGACATTTGAATTCTTAAAATTTATTTTACAATTTTAATAAAAAAAGAATAGTAAACGTAAAAAACTCAGTATTAAAATAGCACATAAAAACACAAAGAGAGAGAGGAAAACAATATTCATAAAATCTGTATTAATTTTTTTGTTATTAAAATAGATATTACAATTATTGTATAATAAACAATAATGCTCAACATGACATGGTAATATAACCAGTGTCATATTTTTACTAAGTGTGAACAGATACCTTAAGAGGGGGTCTTCGCTAATAGCGAATACATAATAAGGGACAATTCCACAAGTGTGGTGTTGATCATGCGTTACACATGGGTATGGATGATAAATGATTGTATACATGTATATCCGTTGCCAATCAAAGTTCATAATGAACAATGTCTTCCGTCCGTTCATTTTGGTAAAAACCAATTAACCATTGAAAAGTTTATAAGAATATCTTGACATCATATGTCTACTAGTTCATCTTCACTTTCTTATTTCTTGCTTGGACGCCCTTTGATGCTTTGCATCAATGCTTTTCTTGTCTAACTCTGGAATGGTTAGAAATCTTCATTGTTCTGACTCGTAACTCTTTTTCTTAATGATTGCTGGTCCAGAATTGTCATTTCCTTTAACATATTGCGTATGATATAGTTGTTTGTTACTTTATTAACATATAAATAGATTGGCCGCGTTTTCAATTCATATATTTCATCATTATTGCTTAAGAATGACAATTCCTCTTCAGGAATGTCTTTAATGCAATAACATTATCTTATGCTTAATATAATGGTAATTTACTGATATGAGTTGTTATTATTATCATTGAATGCTTGTTTGATTCTGGTAAATGATATTTGTTTTATTCCATACCATAGCGATATTACTTCTAGATGCTAGCATTATTAAATAAGCATCTGTTTTTGATAATTAAAAGACTTAATAAACTATTGATAAAGGCATTCAAATAACGGGGAGAGAAAATAAAATTAATATAGCGTATCCAAGAATTTTCCATTGTATCTAGGTCTGAAATATCAAAATAAGTAACAACTAGTTGATACACTTCTACGTTATTACAATTATTGATACACAACGTTTCGGTAAGTATTTGATTTGATTCGTAGCAAAGTTAATTTCAGAATATGCTACATAATACGCTACACGTTCGGTAGTTATGTATTAAGGATACCAATTTTATGTAGGGGTGTCACGTTTATCCGTATAAAGGGATTCGGTTGTTGTTGTTTTTTGTTAGAAAATTCAATAAACTCCTTACCCATTTAATCTGCAAAGATAAACGGTGTCTGGCTGCAACTCTGATGCCTCAACCTTTAAAGGCAACCACTTAGCCATACGGGACATGATGTGCGTGTCTGCATGACAGTAATTTAAACTTTTTATTTTTGTTTTTAGTTGCATTTTTGTCCGATTTCATGCAATTTTAGCGTGTACGGTACGATCCTCATGGACAATAGTTACTACATATGCGGATATGTTTTGTCATTGTTGTAGGGTACAATAAAACCCGAGCAAAATGTGATAATCATCTTGTCATTAACAACAATGTTAATGTTTGAAATCTATGCACTCTTTTAATACGGTCGGTTAAACGTTCAAGGCGGTTTCGTGGTAGCTCCTCATACGGTTAGCATTTTGCTAACCATGACATGTTTTGCAGCTACAGTAGTACATAAGCTATATAATGACATTCATTCAATATTTGATTTATTTTAAACAAAAAATGGCAACAACGATTTTTAAAAAATACATGTATAATGACACTATATACATATATTTTTCAACATATTACTAACACAAACCACCAGACATGTTATTATTTCAGTTCATTTCACCACTTTTGATTCGAATCTCACCAGACATATCCTAAAAGACAAGGGTTTTACTGTAACTGTTGTAAAAAATTGACAACAAATGATTTGCATCTAGTATCCCTGCGTACAGGATGAACTGCAAAACAGCATATTCATTATAAAATGAAGTGTAATTAAAGTATTTGACTTGCGTGCAGTAAATATGCACTTAATTACATGGATCGTGCCGTTTTGTGTGCTGATTAAAGTTGACTTATTGAATTCATCGCATGCAATGTGAAGATGTGATTTGGAGTTTATACACCTGAAGGAATGAGTGTCTCTCTTTGATGCTAGTGATTGTTTAATATATATTTGCATGATCGAAAGAGAAACACCATTGTTTTGTTATTTTTTGTTGCATTTAATGAACATGTTTTACTTTATACACGGAATGAAACTTCTAAGCAGTGTGTAGAAAGTACATATTAGGCGTTACATATACAAGTTTAGAAATTATAAAGTGGTAGTTAAACAAACAAAAAACTATCAACACCTTCTTGTTCTATCATTCATATAACTAGTCTTCTTATTTTCAAACATACATTTTTATGAACTATTTGCATTGCTTTCTAACTATGTTGAGATGGCTCTCAAATAAAAAATATTGCAATTTCTGATACTGAAATATTTAGTTTGATTGTAAGAAATCATTCAATATTGTAAAGAAATAATGTATTCCTACATAAGTTATGTCTCTAGGATATTGTATGTGCATGCCTGTTGATTTTAATGTAGTTTTTCTACTATACCTAGCCTTTACTGCTCATTAGTGTATAATGTGTCTGTAAAAACAGATATCATATGCCACAAAAGTAGTTATATATAATATAACAGTGACAGAACAAAAGACACACTTTTAAACTTAACTTAACGCCAGTACGCTCGTATTTAATATGCATAACGCAATAGTAATATTTATTAACATTTAGATAATATGCATAACATAATAGTAATATTCATAAATATTTAGCAATTAGTTATCACCATTGACAAAAAACCTCTCTTGACTTAAATTTATTATCCACGCTTTAATTTTAAAAACGCCGTTTGTTAACAATCATGTTCTTTTGAAAATGTGTATTACACTATAAAAAGGATTGATCTTAACGAAGTTAGAATTGGCCATGATAAATATTAGCAAATGTAAGTAAAAGTGACAAATTTATATTGATGCCCGCATATTAGTGTTGTTTACAAGCAAGTTGATCGACCTCGATTATTTTCACTTTTAGTTGCTTTAAAACATTCTTCTCGATGAAAA